GATGCCATAAATAATCAGTTATGATGCTGAAGAGTTAAATGAAATGACACAGTTATTTCAAACCGAAATACCAGATTTCTAAATTTGATAGTACATTTTTCTAAGAATCATAGTCTACCATAATGCAATTATAATTAATCTAATAAACTAATTATAATTTCATTATTATTATATAATATATCAATATATAGTTGTGTAGAACATGACCAATTGGCTTCCCAATAAAAGGAAAGGATGATTCAAAAATAAACAAATTTAGAAATGAAATTGGTAAAATATATACTTAAATCTTTCATTTTTTAAAGAAAGTTTGTACGTAAGTCAAAGTAATCGATATAAGTTAGTTTACCTCCAAATAAACTGTCCATTTTTAATTATAGCATATGAATGAATTATTATAATTTGCTTCAACATTCAATTTTAATGGAACTTTAGTTTTACAAAATGTGCTTGAGTACTCAGGAAAAAAAAAAAAAGGAAGGTTAAAAAAAAAATATCTTGATATCCAGGGCATTTTTCTATAGCTGGGAAGGGAAAATAAGATGTTTAGAGAAAGAGATTTTAAAAGCTCAAGACTATATTAAACACTGTAAGTAATGAGATACACTCTGAACAAATGTGTTATAAAAGTTATGAAAAGATAAATAATAAATTGTATTAAATAATCAAAAGACATAGAAGTTGACTCAAATGGAACCATCATTTGACCCAGCTATCCCACTCCTAGGTTTATACCCAAAAGACTTAGAAACAGCATACTACAGGGACAGAGCCATATCAATGTTTACAGCAATACAATTCATAAGAGCTAAATAGTGGAACCAACCTAGATGCCCTTCAGTAGATGAATGGCTAGGGAAAATTTGGTATATGTACACAATGGAACATAACTCAGCATTAAAAGAGAATAAAATCATGACATTTGCAGGTAAATGGATGGAGTTGGAGAACATAATGTAAAATGAAGTAAGCCAATCCCAAAGAATCAAAGGCCAAATGTTTTCTTTGATATGAGGATGCTGACTCAAAATGGCCATGAGGGGAGCATGGGAGGAATGGAGGACCTTTAGATAGGGCAAAGGGAAAGGAGGGGAAGGGAGGGGGCAAGGTGGTAGGAATAATGGTGGAATGAGTTAGACATCATTACCCTAAATCCTGTATGAAGACATGAATTGTGTATGACCAGTGACTTGAAAAATTGTGCTCTATATGTGTCGTATGAAATGAATTGCATTCAACCATCATGTATAACAAATTAGAATAAATAAATAATTTAATAAAGAAAAAATAAGACGTTGTCTCAAGGCCCTCAGTTCCAACAGCTCTTTGTAGAAAGTCAGATTGAGTTAGAGGTTCAAAGGATTTGACATGGAAGAAAGATGATGGATTTGAATCATGTTTGTGAGGTAGACCTATTGAACTTATGGGTTAAAGTGATTATTGTAGGCTTGGTAGTTGAGCAACAGGGCTTAATAGTAACATGATGAGAGAAAAGAGCAGTGGAGGACAGATGAAAGGACATACTGAACAATAATAGCTCAAATTTTTTACATGCCCATTACATTGCCTGCCATTGTTGGATGTGTTTTTCTACACATAAACTCAATCTTCATCACAATCCTATCAAATAGGTTCCTATTGTCAATCCTTTATACAGATTAGGAAAAAGAGGTACAAGAGATTAAATTAAGTTTGGATAAATGAGTTAAACTGAACCAGACCACTGTCAAATTCTCTATTAAGTCTATTATATATATTTCCTCTGCAAACAAAATAAATCCAAGTCAAGCATGTGAGCTTTTTGAAAAAAGAAAAAAAGACTGTGGCATCATAAGAAAAATTTAAAGCAATACATATCATCTACTTTGATATATTATAAATTCATGCAGATCAACTGTCAATGTAATATTGAAAGATTGACTTTCTTGGCAATCAGGAGACTCCTTCATTCATGGGATTCTGGTTTCTCGAGTTTTTTTGTACTTCTTTAAGAAGTACCTATAAAATTACTTTGCAGTTTAATTTACTGTGAAACTAAAAAGATATGTAATGTACTTCAGATGGACTTTAACTACAAGGTTGGCATACTATATGGACCTTTAATTATATCCAGCCCACAGTCTGTTAAGCTAAGCATTAAAAAAAATCTTACTCATTCTTAATTATACTTCATGTTGATCATAAAATTAATTAAACATGATTTCGGACAAGAAAATTCAAAGTAACTTATTTATTATAGCACCTAGAGAAATACTTATTTCCTTAATACCTTTTTTCATATACATTGTTTTTATATCACAATACCAACATTTAGTAGGTATTTTCTATGTCCTTTGCCTATTATAATTGATTTTCATATTCTTTGTTCATTTAATACTCATCACCCAAAATGAAGGATATAGTATAATTATGTTATTTTATAGATGAGTAAGTAAAGATCATTTCACACTTACTAATTTTATTTAAAATTAAAGTGTTAACTCTTTCCCCATGATATAAATGATTATTTAACATATCATATTCAAGTATTAACTCTTCCCCATGATATAAATGATTATTACCAATTCATATTCTGCTGTATAGACTGATTGTCATTTATTTTAAAATTATTTGAGGAAGATACTTATATTTGTAGGCTTCAGTTTTCTCATCTAAATAACACAAAATTCACAGGACTATAATAAATATCAAATGAGATAATATACATGAAGGTTTTGTGTCAGTGATTCATACACAATTAGCACTCAGTAATTGCTAGTTCCTTTTCTGCTCTGGAAAGATGAAGACAAAGAATGAGGAGAAAGAGGAGAAGGTGAATAAGAAAAAGAGAAGAAGAAGGGAGAAAGGAGAAGGAGGAAGGAGGGAGGCGGGGATAGAGAAGGGGAAGGAGAAGGAAAAGATTTTGTGGTTAAATAAAGACCACTGCAAACCCAGGTTCATATTTGTGAATACATCAGTACATTTCTTGTAAATATGGGGCACATTGTCTAGACATCTGAACATACAAAGCTAGTTTTGGAAACTAAATATTGGAAGACATAACTTGTTCAATCTGTTTTCCACTTTTATTTAGACTAGTCGACTGCTATAAGTTTGTGATAAATCAGTATTTTTTCATTCAGATAAACTTAGAAAACATCTGGCTAAAAAAGGGTTAGCACACTATGGGTCTTTGATCCCATCCAGCCCATAGGCTGGCTTTGTATGGTCTAAGATCTAAGATTGTTGTTTTTGTTTTACATTTTTAAATGTTTTAAGATCAGTAGAAGAATATTTTATGACTTTTGAAGATAATATGATTAAATGTTAGTGTTCATAAAGTTTTATTGAAACAAAGTCATGATTATTCATTTATGTACTGTCTGGTTATTTTTACTCTTCAAAGAAAACGTTGAGGAGTTGACAATGAGATCTTATGGCTCACAGATCCTAAAATATTTACCATCCAACTCTTCAGAAAAATGTTTGCCTATTTGTGAGTAAGCACAGTGAAATCCTGTACTTATTCTGAGAGCATTTAATATGCCAACGTTATCCTATCAAACTCCAAAATGTTGAACAAGGAATTTTGTGTTATTTAGATGAGAAAACTGAAGCCTACAAATATAAGTATCTTCCTCAAATAATTTTAAAATAAATGACAATCAGTCTATACAGCAGAATATGAATTGGTAATAATCATTTATATCATGGGGAAGAGTTAATACTTGAATATGATATGTTAAATAATCATTTATATCATGGGGAAAGAGTTAACACTTTAATTTTAAATAAAATTAGTAAGTGTGAAATGATTTCCTAGACTTATTTGACCTTCCTGGCACATTTCAGAAAATTTGTGGTCTGCGTATAATGTTTTCAACACACGAATTCAGTTGTTTTTTACTATGTGAAATGAAATATGCCATGATTTTTTTCTTAAGCCACTCTAATAAGAAAATAATATTTCTCTTATATAAACAAGGTATGACTATATAGATCTCTCTAAAAATATGCTGATAGAATTCTTCTATCAAAACCATTACAATCTTTAAAAAGACACACATTGATTGACGGTTCAGAAGAGTGTTCTGGGTCTTTTTTAAGCTTTGTACCATCTATTTTTATTAGGTCAAAAGCATCAATGTTCCTTACTTGTTCCCAACCTTTAAAAGGGGCACTGACCACTTAATTCTATTTTAAGTTTGTTTCACACACAAAAAAAATGTACTTAAAAAAAAATGATCATCACGATCACCTCAGGAAAATTGAAGTCATTATAAGTAAAGCAAATATGCTATCCATGAATTAGATGTAGAAATGTTAGCCTGGCACAGTGGCACACACCTGTAATCCCAGCTGCTCAGGAGGCTGAGGCAGGAGGATAGCAAGTTCAAAGCCAGCCTCAGCAACTTAGCAAGGCCCCAAGCAACTTAGCAAAACCCCTCTCTCAAATCATAGAAAGAGCTGGAGATGTGACTAAGTGGGTTAAGCATCCCTGGGTTAAGTCCCCAGAAAAACAACAAAAAAAGGTAGCAATGTTAAGTAAAAATTTTGATTGGCCATTTTTTAAAAAAATTAGTTGTACACATACACAATACCTTTATTTTTCTTATTTTTATGTGGTGCTGAGGATCCAACCCAGTGCCTCACATATATGAGGCATGCGCTTTGGCACTGAGCTAAAACCTTAGCCCTTGATTCCCTTTTTTTTTCTTTAATGCACACACACATACAGAATAAAATTTAATTAAAATCAGAGTTAATAAAGCAGGCAAATAACATGGAAGTTCTGACACACAAACTAAGTCCATTTGATTTGACTGACTGTACAGCAAATGCTCTCAACAGCAACATTTCTTGGATCACAGCAGTGCCAGTCTTAAGAAGAGGTAAACTCAGAACCTTCACCCATTAATAATACAGATCTTTCTCTAGGTCACTAAGAAAATTCGAATCATCGTTTTGATAGGTGAAGCATGAAAAATAGTGCTAACAAATAGTTTTCTTCAAATACATACCCTTAATATTTTTCTTAAAGTATTTCCAAAATTGTTGCCCTTCAGAAAATCAATTTTTCTATGGAGAAAACATGGAACAGTAAAAAAAATTGATAAATAAGACATAAAAAATTATCCTGAAAATTAAAATTTGATGTGTGTGTGCATGTGTGTGTGTGTTTGCCAGTTTCATGCTCTAGTAATGCCAGTCTAATTTTTTTAGGAAGTAAAAGCATAAACCAGTCAAGCAGGATAAGAACAGCCCTAGACATTCCACAACCACAGAGTAGCTAAAGCACATAACTCCCATAAGCAGAGGAAGGGAAGGGAATGTGTAAAGAATGTGCATTAGAGACTCCTGGAGGTTAAGTAAACAAACTCTGGTTCAAATTCCGGAAATTGATTATAATTAAAATGTAAATATTTAACATGTAGTATTTACCAAATGGAATGCTGAGAAACTAATCTCATTGGAAATTCTATTCTTTACTTCTAAGTATTACCTGTGCCTATACCTGGCAAGTATGTAAAGTTTCCTTACTCATTTATGTTTTGTAGAGAGATATTTCATAAAACAAAGCATATCTATTAAAATAAAAGTTATCATTAAATATTTCATTTAATGATAGCAGTAGTTATTTCAACTATTAGCATTAGTTTTCCTTTGGACAGCCAAAACCATAATTGGTTTGCTTTCATAGTTGAAGATATTTCCTAATGACAGTGATTTTAAGCTTGTATCTGCCTGCAGCCACCTGCTCTTCACTTTTTAAATGAGCTCTGAGAATTACAGGCATCTTTGAATAACACCTGAAATAAACAGGAATTTGAATTATCCAGGAGATCTGAGGGTGAGCTCCTTTATCCCTGCTTTTCATTTTCTGAATATACTCTGTAAGGAACTGCAATACTTCTGGATGGAAACTTCATCTAAAATAATCGGCTTTTCACATTATTCACAAATAAATATCCTAAAGAGTACTGCAAATTAATAGTTGAGAGAATCAGAGTATGCCAGGACTTGTCATATCATTTTGTTAAGAAAAAGGAGAGATACCTGAAAACATTATCCATAAGGAACACCAGGCACCTATATCAAAAGTATTGCATGTCCATTTTTCTTCCCTAGGTTTTAAACTCTTTAATATGATCTGAATCTTTCTGTCTCTGCCTCCTCTATGACTTTGCTTCATAATTTATCCTTCCTTAAATTCCTTTTTATTTCCTACCTTTTGCTCTGAACCTTCAGCTTAACCACATGTTCCCCTAAACATCTTTCCTTCACAAATTTAAATAGCAATCCACAGTCCTTGTCTCTTGTTGAACATTTTCTAGGGGCTCTTCAATCCATCACAAAGTGACCACTACCCAGCTTAACTCAAGGAGATACCTCACTTACAGTTATCAGGAACCTTCTAACTGCCAAACTCAGTAGTCATTTTCAGAACTGATCTGACCTGATTTCTTTGTTACATGATGTGTTGTGACCCCTTCTTCCCATTCTTGTGGCCCTCTGATCCTTGGCTGAGAAAAGGTCACTCTCCTGCAATTCTTCCTTTACTTTACCATCTTCCTCTCCAGTTCCCAGATGGAACTTTCTTCATCCACATATTAACAGGTGTAAGTATCATTCAAGACAAAATTCACGTGGCCATCAATTCTTTGCAGTTCCTCCCATCAAAAAAAAAAGAGTCTATTTTTTTTCACCACTTTATTAGAATTTGAGATTTTGATGACCAAAAGAATGTGGCAAAAGCCATGCTGTACAAATTCTGAAGCCCAAATTTCAAAAAAGTATAGCTTCTGCTTTCTCCCTTTAGGATCCTGTCCTGAGACTGCTGATTGATGAAAAAGCCTGCCATGAATGATCAGAGAGAGAGAGAGAGAGAGAGAGAGAGAAAGGAGATCTCAACTCCTCAGGTTTTCTACCCCCAACCAGCTGCTCCTGAGAGAGCCCAGGAAACCAGTAGAATATCCACCCCTGCCAACCCACAGAGTCATGGAAAATATTGTTAATACTTTAGGCAACTAAGTTTGGAGGTGTTTTTCCATGCTGAAAGTAGTAATGGATGCAGCTGCCATCCCCAAGGATTTGGGCTAACTCATTTTTTCTCTTATCATACACATTCTTCTTGTTCAGTGTGATACCCACACCAATATCAACCAACTGGAGGATAGTTCGAAAGTCTAATTATATTGGCCTTGAACTCCAGACCCATATTTCCAATTTCCCTTTTCATATCTATATAGTTGTGTTTGCATAACCAGGGGGACTTCAAATTTGACACATCAAAACTAATTCATCACCTTCTGTCACATTCCAAACGATTTGATCTCTTGATTTTCTCTTACTGAATACAATCATGACGCCCTGCCTCTGTCTCTCTCATCTGCAGGCACTATGTCTGTTTTATCCTAGTTATTAAAGGTCCAAAATATCTGCCCTCATCACCTTCTTCACTATTGCAATTCAGACAATGGTTTTACTATATATTGGTGTAGTAAGCTATTACATATCACATTATTATAAAATGTTGTCCACATCACATTTGTACCCTACAAGATTACTAAGCTGCTGTTCTTTTAAACTACAAATCTAGTTTTGTAATTCACTTGATTAAAATATGTAAATGAGGCTCAAGGCTTTCATTTTAAATCTTTCTCCTTTTCTTTCTTTCTTATTTTCACTTTCTTCTCCCCATTCCTAGGCTTTCTTCCATGATTTGACCCCTCCAAGTTATAGCCAAGAATTCTTTACTATATACATGGAATGAGTCATTCCTATTGCCATGCCAATCTCTGACACATCTAGCATTTTGACACATATATCACCCTGTTGATGGCTAGATTGGACCAGCAGTGCTTATATTTTGACTATGGGTCTTTTGACAACCTGTTTCCTTGTCCTGAAATACTTTTTTTTCTTCTTCTTATCCATCTGATTAACTCTTACTATGCTTCAAATGTTGCTCCCCTAGGAAAATTCCCTGATTCCCTCTGAATAAACCCAATGCCCTGACCCCAGCTGCAAATGGGAGCCCACTCTTGATGCTTCTGCAGAATCTAGTGCACCCTTTGCAACAGCAGAATTCTTTCTTTTTACTAGTTTTTCAGTCAGGTCCTGGACTGAATCTTTCATTTTGAAACCTAAAGGTTCATCATAATAGGTGTTAAGTCAGTCTGTCTTTCTTTCTTTTGTAATTTGGAAGAGGGTGACAGGAGGAAGGGAGTTTTAGAGAGGTAAATAAAAATAATTTTCTCAATATAGAAATCTAGATAATTAAAGTTTAAATCTACTCTGATTAGTCAAGATCAAGTGGATCTGAAAAATAATACCTAGTTATAATTGGTCCTCCTACTGTTTTTGTAAATAAAGTTTTATGGAAACACAGCCATGCGCATTTCATTATGTATTGTCTATGGTTCTTTTCATAGGCAATGACAGAGTGAGAAGTGGAGTTGTGACATTATTGCTAGCAAAACCTAAAATATTTATTATGTGATTTTAACCCCTCAAATTTTGAGAATTCTTGATTTTGATCATTTATCAACACCAAAACTATCAATTTTATTTTTTAAATGATAAAACATTTTCTTGAACTTCAGTATTTATATATAAGTATTCTATATAGGGTTCCCTAGGAGATAAAAAGGTAAAAATAACACAATCTTTACACAAAAAGAAACATCATCTAATGGAAGTTATGGTACTATACAAAAGCAATATCAACCAAAGGTAATAATTAAAGAATCATTAAAGGGAAGGCTGTTTCATGCTGACTGAGTGGGATTAAGACAGGATTAGTCAGCCTGAAGGCCCTGACTGGAAACCAGTGTGTTTTGCCCTTGAAGCCCCACTGCAGGTGTGGCGTGCTCCATATTAATCAGCCCCATATGGATATGAATAGGGACAGGAGTAGGCTGGGTGAATGGCAGTTTCACAGGCCCATCTCAGGTGCAGTGTGTCCAAACACCAGGTGTTTGGAGGTGGAATACTTGGAAACATTCAAGTGACCTCTTGAATTTTTCACTCTTTACCTCAATGTTTTTTCCTTCCAAAATTTATCCTTGCCATTTTTTTTTCCTGCTCTTTGTGATGACACACTTATTATCTTCAGTTACTCAGGGCCAAAATTGTAGTTATCATTGATCCATTTATTCATCCTGATTCTATCCCTGTCCATTAAGTTTTGAATTCTTATAAATTTTGCCTCCATGGTAACTCTTGTATCTAAATGTTTTCACTTTTTATATGAGACCTTTTTAACTAATCCCCTAACTGGCCTACTCATATTCTTTCTCTACTGTATATTTTTTTTTTGTTTATTTCATCTAGATAATTGTTTAAAAGGCTACATAATGATCATGTTATTTTCTTTTTCACAGCTCTTTAGTTCTTTTAGTGCAAAATAAAATAAGCAAAATAATGTTTGTCTTTCCACAAACTGCACTGATAAAGTGTCAACCACTTTGTCTTTTTTTTCCTATTTTTTTCTTTGTCTGCATTGTTCTTTTTTCCATCTTTTTGTATGCAAATCTTGCATCTCATTCAGGTCTAAATCTACTGCTCTTTTGTGAAACCTCAGAGAGGTACAACTCTATCTTTGTTGAATAACATCCCAGTGCACCTGTATCTCTGGTCCTGAACTTCAATCAGCAATATTGTACTAAACACTTCCACTTAGATACTTAATAGGCATCTGAGAACAAGGCTGGAGTAGAATCATTAATTTCTCATACTTCCCCAAAAATCTGCTCTTATACTAATGTTCCCTATCTAGAGTTGGCAAAATTCACCATTGCTCAAGTCAAAAACTTCAGATCATCCTTCCTTTTTATTTTTTTTTCTCATTCATTAAAATTCCTGTTAAGTTCTCCTTCCAAAGTGGAATCCACCAATTTTGCCACTTTCTTTTCTGTTCTACGGTCATTCCACAAGGAGTCATTCTTTGCTTACAAAAAACTTTTACAATAACTATCACAATAACTTCTAGATTGGATGTCTTGCTTCCTCTCTTGGTCTTATTGTAGTACTCTCCATATAGCAGCCAGGCTGATTTTTTTAAAAAAACAAAAGAT